GGGTTTCAGTCTTGTTTTGGTCCAATTCCTTTCTATCCCCCTATTCCTCCCTTTTGGAATGCTAATGTTACCCTGTACCATTTTGTGCCAGCAGTGTTTGTTTGTTTGTTTGATTTTGCAATATGGGAGATTTAACTCAGGGCCTTCACACTGAGCTACATCCTTAACCCTTTTTTATTTTGAGATATGGTCTTGCTAAATTGCCCAGGCTGGGCTCAAACTTGCAATCATCCTGTGTCAGCCTCTTGAGTGCTAGGATTACTGATGTGTGCTACCATGTCCAGCTAGTATATAACTTTCTTTTTGTTTTTTTACAGGGGCTCAGAACTAAAAGTCTGCCTTGAGTCTCAGAAGAGACTTAGGACTTGGGATTTTCAGCAATCTGGAACTGTTACTAAATGCATTTTGCATAGAGAGATGGACATGAGACTTTTGGGTGCCAAGGGTGGAATGTTCTGGTTTATATGTAGAATGTCCCCCAAAATCCTCATGTGTTCAGAGGTTGGGCTTTTGGAAAGTGATTGGATTATAGAGGTGGGACCTGGAAGGGTATACCTCCCTCCCTGACTATCATGGCATGAGCAGCTTTCCTCTGCAGCAGGCCCTTCCACCATTGCATTTCTGCACTTGAAGTGGCCAGCCATAGACAAAACTTCTCAAACTGTGAACCAAAATAAACCATTCCTCCTTTAAACTGAGGGTGGCAGGTATTTTGTCCCAGCAATGAAAAAATGACTAAGACAGGCTCCTTGAATTATATTTCTCTTTATACTGCCTCAGTTTGGAGATAGGGTCTCACTATGTAGTTCAAATTGGCCTTGAACTTACTATGTAACCCAGGCTGGTCTCCAACTCATGGCAATCATCCTATCTCAGCCTCCTGAGAGCTGGGATTATGAGTGTGCACCACCACACCCAGTTTTGCTACCACTCATTCTTAATCTATTTCTGCTGCTCATCATAAACCTACCCATTAGAAACTGCACTGAAACACAGCATATGCAGGCCAGGATGCTCTGTCAATCACCACTGTCTTTCAAGGCAGGCGGCAGAACCACTGAGCTAGATCCCCGGCCCTATTTTCTCTCTA